TTTGGGGTTTAGGGTGCGCTTCCTTTAGGTTTCAAGTTCAATTCTCATTAGGTGTTATAAACTCTTTAGGGTTATGTCCAAGAGTTTTGCACGATATCTGCCTGATTCACGTAGAGGTTACATTTTGAATGAGTCTCGAATTTAATTGAGAGACACATAAATTAGCCCTCAATCATCAAAATAAATAAATGCGCCTAAATTTAATCTACCAATATGAACTTAACTTTTTGGCTCTCATTTGGAGGGTCAATTGAGAATGTGTGTGAAAAAAATGGTCCGCCCATGTGGATAGATGATGATCATTTTATTTTATTTTTTTGGATGTGCTGTTGTGCAGCTAGTATTTGTTTGGTTGAATTTTCTCAACTTGTTTTTTGAAATTGTTTTTAAAAAATTAGTAATTAATTTCATAAAAATTAAAATTTAAAAATATATATTTCTCAAATTTTAAAATATTTTCGCTCTAAAAAATAAAAACTAATATAAAATTTTTTGATAATTTTTTTTCCCTCTAATTTACTTTTTGATAATCAAAAAAAAATTAAAAACTCAAACAAAAGCACTCATTCTCTAGCTTTTAGATAATTAATTTTTTTTTTAAACTTACTTAAGCTATTTAAACCTAATAAGTTATAAAATGTTATGCTTTATTCTAATAATTTAATTTAAAATATAAGACTCAAAATTATGAATATAAATTACAAGTTTAATATAATCACATCATTCTTGAATAAGTAGTTTATAAAAAATTTGATGGTATGTCAAATATTCCAATAAAGAACTTCAATTTCATCGGCCTAAGTTTTTTTTTTTTTTTTTTTTTTTTAAATTTTTATTTTATTTTTGCATGCTATAGATTCCTACAAAGTGAAAAAATACCCAACCATAGCCCAACCACAGGGGTGATTCTTCGAAGTAGACTGCAACGGAGTCGAAATACTAGGAGGGTACTCTTACGTATACTATATAACATGATCACTTAATCATGCAGTTGTAAGTTGTATACATAGGTAAAAAATCAAACCCACACTTCAAACATGATGTGTTTGGTAATTTTTACGTTTTCAGTTTATATTTATAAAAATTTTATAAATTAGTTTTTGTTTATTTTTAGAAAAACATAAACTACAAATGCGCTTGGTAATTGACAAAATATTTTAAAAAATTTAAAAATATATTTTTTAGATTATTTAAATTATTTAAATATTTATGATTTAAATTTTTTGAATATTTATTTTGAAAAAAAATTATTTCCTTTGTAGTATTTTCAATTAAAAAATTGATTAATGTTATTTTTTGTTAATAATAAATTTTTTTAATTGAATTTTAAAAAGAGTTTGGTTATGAGTGTTGATCAAAATTTTCAATAATGTGAAAGTAATGTGTTTTGTTATGAGTTATAACAATTTGAATTAAGTTTTGAAAACTCTTTTCAAAACTCATAACCAAACAAATTTTCTTACTTCACATGTCAAATCAAACTTTCAAAACTCAATTCTACACTCAATTCAAAACTTAATTCCACACTCAATTCAACACTTTATTCAAAAACCATAACAAAACAAATTTTCTACACTCAAATCATAATTCTAAAACACACAAACTCAAAATACAACTCATATTCTCAAATCATAGTTACAAAGCTCTACCAAACGGAGCCTTAACTTTTTAGATAATGACTTTGATAAAAAAAAATTAAAAATTAATTTTTTACTAACTTGTCAAAACAAGCCTATGTGAAAAGGCCAGAGGTTGATGGAGGCACGAGTCGTTACTTCTTGGTCAACCAAAGTAATAAGTGCGTTGTACAAAATAGACATAATCCACCAATATGAACTCTACTTTGGCATCCATTTTGGAGAAGTCAATGTGGAAAAAATGGTTCATTCATGTGGGTAGGCTGGGTAGGTTTTAGAAATAAAAATCTCGTGCGATCACCGTATATTTTGACTAGAAGATAATTATTACACACAAAAAAGATAAAATAAAATAAATTATTAATAAATTTTAATAGTTAAATTTGATTTTTATCAAATTTTATTAAAAATAAATCCTCGTACAATCATCGCTAAAGTTAAAAATTGACAATTAGTGATTTTTTTTGTCACAGTTATAATAAATTGTCGCTAAAACTTATAATTAGTGACATTTTTTTGTGACGAATTTTTTAAATTATCACTGAAAGTTGAAAGTTAGTGACCTTGTTTTGTAACGATTTTTTTAAACTGTCACTAAAATTTATAATTAGTGATTTTTTTAGATAAAATTTTTAAATTGTCACTAAAAATTAACAATTAGTAATGTTTTTAATAGTATATGATGAAAAATATCATTAATTATTATAAGAACTATTAAATAATAAATCCAATTAATAAGATATACACGTAAGTGTGCCTTAAAAAAAGGACAACAAAATGAATGTAAAGAATTTCTGTTTCACATCACTAGTGAAATGAAAATTTTAGATTTATCTACTCTCCTTTTCATTTTGCTTTTATGTTAATTACTTTTCTCTCATCGTCTTGACTAATTATATTTGGAGAGTCGTTTAACAATAATGAAATATTTATAAATAAATAAAAATATTTTGCAGAAATATGTCTTTTTTCTTTCTTTCTCTGGCATCCTTTTCCTTTCGCATTGAAGAATGTAAATTAAAAAGAACATTTTAAAATGACTTGTTAAAATAAAAAGTTTTGTTGGAATACATGTTTAAAAACATGGTTATTTAAAATAAATAAATATTATATATATATATATATATATATTTTTTTTTTGATGTACTTTTACTTTATAAAATACCTGATAATGTTGTTGATAAGGCTCTAAAAGGGGGCTAATACAAAGTAACCGTTAGTTAATTAGTTAACTCATCAATTGAGAATGAGTTGTCTTCGGAATTTATTTACCACATAGTGGATTTGATAGTTTTGTTAGGGTCTGTGATTGTCATGGCCTTACTTCAATAATTTGATTGATTATTTCATTGATCCATGTGTCTAGATTAATTAAAAAAATTAATCTGATATTCATGATCATATAATTACATCATGTTTATTTTTAAAAAATAAACAGTCAAATTTTAAAATTATATTGGTTGTTCATTTTTTAAAGAAAATATAACTAAATCATTTGATTATAGATCGGTTAAATCACACTCAACCGAACTGTTTCAATTGGTGCGACTTAGTGAGAGAAACAGTCTATGTCAGTACTCAAAATAATAAAATCGATATTACTAATTAAGTGAAAATTTTTACTTAAATACCAACCGTACTGAACCGATTATATCCCTAGTTACATCAATGATGGCCATGTGAAAGATAGGACAAACCGGAGGCAAAATCAATCCCGGTCGAGAGGTCATTCGCAATCAATGTCTGAGTTACAAAAAGAATGGCAACTATTGTAACCAAAAGGTCATCTGAGAAAGTGAAGAAAGTACAGAAATGTGGGTTGGCAGTTCAAAAGATGTGCAGATTTCTAACTATGCAAGTGCTGATTATTCACAGGAAAGTTACGAGAAAACAGACCGAGTTAATGGACGAGGTTAAGCATACTCCCATCTATCGCTCTGAATTTGGTTAGTGGTAGAGATTTCTCCAAATGTGCACTAAAGGCGAGAGAGGAGTCATAACAATTTATGAAGTGAGATTTGCAATACGCCCCAATTAAAGGCGAACAGTGAATATATCGATCCACCTAAATCGATTGAACCGAATTAATTTGTCTTATTTTGTACGAATGCATGATAACGAGCAGACGATTGTGGATTGATTTTTTTCAATTCGCCTAGTTTTGAACGGATGACGGATTTGAGATTCTTTTGGCCACATAGAACCACAAGCACCCTAGTAATTTGTAAGATTTTGTGTTTTCAATTTGTTTAGACATTCTATTTGTGTTTTCAATTTAAAATGAGTTTAAATATTTTGTTGAAAAAGAGTTTTCAACTTAAATATATTTTTTAAATTGAAAAAAATAAATGTATTATTTATCTGTATTTTTTTATTTTTAAATCTAACTCTAAAAATAATAAATAAAAAAGATGATATATGATAGTTGATTTTTATTTTCAAAAACAGATATAAATGTAACGATACAGAGACATACAATGTCTACTAATGCTCTGTTTATGATTTTGGTGGTTTGAATTATTTTTATATTTTAAGAATCACAAATTGTAATACTTTATGTGAATGAGACATGCTGTGATTGTAATATGTAAATAAGACATTTAGTGATTGTAATATTTTAAAGTTTTAAACTTTCTTTCTTTAGATAAATATGGATGAGATATGCTGTGATGGTAATATGTGAATAAGACATTTAATGATTGTAATATTTTGAAGTTTCAAACTTTCTTTCTTTAGATGAAACATGTAGTGATTGTAATATTTTTTAAGTCATTGATTGTAAAAAAAAAAATTTTAACAAGTGCATAAGTTAAATTATGTTGAAAATTTATAAAATTTTAAATCGCCAAATCGATTCGCATCCATACATAAATCCGCTCAATCTACATCCACCAGATTGACAGACGGATGCAAATTGATTTTCTCTAATCCGCCAATTTGATAGACAAATGACAGATTGAAAGTTCCGTAATCGCAACTGATCCGCACCCACCCCTAACCCCAACAAAAGGGCACCCAAAGAAGGGGTGGAGTGCGGTGCGGTGCACATGGGGAAAACGTGATTTGTTAGGTTAAGCAGTTGTGTCTTCTAATAGATTAGGACGTGTAATGGGGCAATAACATTGGGTTCCTTTGCTTGCGTAAAGGAAGAATAGGTAAATGAATTTCTTGTGCTATAAACACAGGTCGGACTTCTTGCACTATAAATACAGATCAGACGAGGTGGAACATGTTATAGACTGGTTTCAAAATTTGTCATACAAAGATGGACAACTATCTCTCCTTCGAATTTCCCATTGGTTCGTTAGTTAACATGTGCCAGCAGGTACAGCAAAACTACACAGCTTCAAACTCTTCTAGCCATTATTGGAAATGTATGTAAAGACAGATTATGTATTCATTAAGCAACTCAGAGAGAGCTAGAGAAAGGATAATACAAAGGATGTACTAGGGTCAAGCAAGGGCAGTAATCAGTCAAAAGAAAATAGTACAGCATTATTAATTTCATTATAACAAAGTATATCCCTAATTATATTCATTGAAACTTTTCAGATTTTCCTAAAAAAGCCTCACTTCCAATGTATTTAGACCAGCTAGGAGTGGGCAACATATAGAATATATGATGGAGTGACTCAGGTCCGCTTGATCTTTGAAAATGTCCCTATTTCTGAAAAGTAGGTGCTTTGAGTTCCACTGCCAAGCTGATTAGCATGTGCCTGTGGATTTGACAGCTCAATCCCCTGCAAAAAAGAAAACATCACTCCGAATCACCAAATGAAAATATTAACCAACTATAATTATACATTAACATATATACAACAATTGTAAGAACCTATGACACCACACAGATTTAAATCCCACCAACACAAGGTTAGCTTTGTTACGATAATTTTGCTCATAGCTGCCTTCACTACATAATGAAATATCATGCTTCCACATCCCCCAACTTGACATAATAATGGGTATAACACTCCTATTTCCCCCTTCTTTTTAACTATGTTGTAAATGGAACTCTTTTTTCCCCCTGAAAAGTATGGATACTCGGAATGCTTTATTATCAAAAAGCATAGATAGAGGAGTCTAGTAATGTAGAAAAAAATATATGGTGAAATCAGCAAACTTAATTCATTGCTTGTATTTGCAAATCGTTAGGTGACATGTTGCCCCAGGAACTGATAAGCTTTAGAAATCAATATGGTAAAAGAACAGTCCTAGTTATAAAAAACTTGAGTTTTGAAAAAAGTACGCAAGTTTCATTTCAAATTGATTTAGTTTTGAAGTCTGAAAAAAGGGAGGGAAAAGTAAAGAAAAAAGAACTCCAATCACCTAATTCATAATCTATCTCAAGTAAAAAACATTACAACGTTCTATATTTTCAGGGTAACAGAGTAATCGTATGGACATCAAATGTTTGCTAATATCTTGTCTGGCCAAATAATATAGAATCATGCATCATGCTTTAAAATTTACTATACACTAATCAGCAATTTTTCTTCCAGACCATGGTTAACAATGTCAGTATCACTAGAACAAAACTTGAATGAAATTCAACAACAGAGATTGTTCAGAAAGGTAAGAAGTGGAATAAACCTGCACAGGTGTAAAGGCCAAACTTGAAGTAAGTCCTGAGGTAACACCACTGCTTCCAGAATACTTCTCCTTGAACCTGAAAACAGTACAAACTCCATGAGATCTTATAGGAAGGGAAGACATTGAGTATAAAAATGACTCAATAAATAAGATTCACATTTATCCAACTTAAATAGGATGAAAAAAATGCTTATAAACTTTAGGCTACAAGAATTTACAATTTGGCTTGAACAGTAAGGAATAAAGAGGTGCAAAAGAAAACCTACTTCTTAGCTACTTTTGCAGCAAGTTTGCTCTGAGCAACTGATACGCGCAACTTGCCACTACCAGCCTGACCAAGCATTCCATATCCTTCTCCAAGTCCATCACCTATTTTCAAGAAGCAGCATGTAAACATTGAGAAAGAGAACATGAAATAACTTCCCATTTGTAGTGGTCTTCAAATACAAAAAAGGCAACAGGAATCCATTTTTTAAGTACAGTACTGATAATGCTGTGAAAACCAATGTTTAGTTTAATCCCTAAAAATGCATGCACAACATTAAGGAGGGCAGGGAGGCTGAAGAAAATTACTTCTTATGTTTTATAAGTTATTTCTTTTTTTTAAATTAACTTCTTTTTGGTACAATGGAATTTGGAAGACAACTCGCAAAGTGAGGTCTAGCCATAGTTCTAAATATCGGCCGCTACGGTACGCACCGACCGATTCGTACCGATTTTACTGGCCGATTCGTACTGGAAAATCGAAGCACCGATTCCGATATAGACCGATATAGCGGTGAGCAGTGTTTTTAAAAGCTCAAGGCGCACTAAGGCGTTGAAGGTCTCTCGGGGCCTAGGCGCAAGGTGAGGCGCGGGCTTTATTGAAGTAAGGCGCACAGTCTTAGTAAAAAATAGAAAAATTAACATAGACTAATCATTCATAGTAGTAAGACAATTTTTTTAAAAATAAAAAGTAATCAAGATTCAAGACAAAATATAGAATAATTCTCAAAGTCATGAAAATGCATATTACATAACATTTCAATTTTCAAAGATAAAATAATCCACATTCAATAAAATAAAAATAAAAATAAAAACATAAACACTAAACATCCAATAAATGAAAAATAATTTCAGTGTAATGTAAGTGTGATTAATTATGTAATGAAATGGAAAATAATGTGTAATGGAAAATTACACATTAGCATAGTGTATTAATTAATGGAAAATTAATTAATACAATGTAATGGAAAATAATGTAAGGGAAAATTACACTCCGTGTAATGTAATGTAATGGAAAATAATGTAATGTAATGTGTCAATTTAAAAAATAATTAATGTAATGTAATGTGTCAATTTAGAAAATAATGTAATGTAAAAAAAAACAAGAGACCAATAGCAGTGTGTTAATTAATTATTTGTAAAAAAAAAATTATTTTGTATTTCTTTAACAGAGACCAATAATAGAGACCAACTTATTTTGTATTTCTTTCACAAAAAATTTATTTTGTAAAAAAACAGAGACCAATAACAGAGATCAATTTAGTGTATTTTTTTAGTTAATCAATTAATAAGATAAGTCTTATTTTGTATTTCTATTTTTTTATTTTTTTATTTTTTTTTTGTTTTTCACAAAAACTCAAAGGCATAAATAATTGAGAAAAAAAAAAAAACAAAGCAGAGGAGACGATCAGATCAGACGAAGAAGGAGAGAAGAAGAAGAAGAAGAAAAAATAAAATAAAATAAAATGACCATCAGATCAGACGATCGAAGTCAAAGGAGGGAGAGAGAGAGACGATCGAAGTCGAAGAAGGCAGTCGAAGAAGGCAGAAGGGGAGAGAGAGAGAGTCGAAGTCGAAGAAGATGAAGAAACAGACGACACAAATTAGGGATTCAAACACACCTGGAAGCCGTAACGCACCTGGAAGTTGAAGTTGAAGTCGAAGTCGTAGCCCAGTCCAAGTCCAAGTCGAATCGCAGTCGAGAGATAAAGAGACGACACAGATTAGGGCTTTCGTTTCAGTCGTATTGGGTTTGTAGTGTATATAAGTTGTAATCCTCTGTGGTTAGAGCCATTCTGAACACACACTACAGCCATTAGCTCAAAGATTAGGGCGTAAACATCAGTTGCGCCTCTCTCGCATGCTTCAAGTCGCGTCTAAGGCGTGCGACTTCTTCAACGCGCCTCGCCTGGGACCAGTTCAGGCGCACAAGCTGCGCCTCGCTGCACCTTGCGCCTAGGCGCACTTTTAACAACACTGGTGGTGAGAATGAAATTCGCAACCATAACGTCCGAGACCCGGTACGTGGCGGCCTGAATCCGATAAATACGACGATACAGTCCGATACACGTTGGTTGTCGCCGATGCAAATGAAAATTTGTGCAGAAAACCTGCAAGATCTAAGCTTCTTTGGACTATGGAGTTCACTTCGATCTTCAAGGTTCTTCAAAGAAGATTTGTCCCTAAGTTGCAAGTTATAATTTGTGCTTATGCTTATGCTCTGTTTTGCTTATGCTTATGCTCTGTTTTTGGTCAACCTGAAGCTACTATGCTCTGTTTAGTTGCTGTGCTAATATTTACGGTTTTTTTTTTTTTTCTTCTTCTTCTTCTGTTTATTTTTTTATACACCTACACTACACCACTGTTTATATTAATATATATATATATATATATATATATATATTTCTATTTGGATTAGTGGAAAGGTTTTTTTATCTTTTATCTTTTTTTATTTTTGTACTATGTTTTTTTTTTATTTGTGTATTGGTTTGGTGTAAATGCTTAAAATTTAAATTTTTTATTTATTTTTTATTTTCTAATCAGCTTTTTATTTTTATTTTAAATGTATTATTGTTACTAACTACATTAGAATTATAATATTTGTCAATTGAAAACTGTTATTGTAAATAATTGAAAGTTGTAATTGAGACTAAAATAAATACATATCATTTAATTGAAAATGAGTCAAAAGTGTACCTACATATCAAAATTTTGATTAAAATGTGACAAATTAAGGCTAAAAGAGTAAAAAGAAAAATGCATAAAATTGAGTTTTAGAGGGATTGTTAATGATTTTTAAAATTTCACGGCCGCGACACCCGATTCCCGATACTACCGATACCGATACTCCGCGATCGATACCGTTACGTTACCCGATACCGCGATTTAGAACTATGGGTCTAGCAGGGCTAGCCCCATTGGTTCCAAAGAAACTTACTTCGGATAGGTCAAATCAATCAGCATCTTCTAATATAAGATCGTACCGAGGTAAAGACAAATGCATCTCAAGCAAATAAATAGGCACTGTTACCCTTATTACTAGATAATCTGAAATTAGTGATACATACCCAAAGAACTCTCTTCAGGAACTCCAAACTGCATCCTATTCGCTAGTTTCCTCATGTCTGTTATAGCATATCTGAGGCGCAAAAGTTTATATGACACAGTAAAGAACTTAAGATAGCCATACTATACCTAAAGAAACAAAATCAAGAAAGAGAGAGATTTTGGGAAAAGATGGGAGCTACACTACCTTTCCTTCATCTTCCTCAGCCGACGACCACCTCTCTTCTTTTTGGGCTCAGAATCAGGAACTGGAAGAGGTTTAGGTTGCTTTGCAGGGGGTGGCTCTTGCCACTTCTCAATTTTCTTACGAACCTCTTCCCGAAAGGTTCTGCCTGTCTTCCCAGTTGGATCTCCTCTAATAGAATCTACACGTGCTACAAGTGTTGATTTTGCAGCCAGTAGCCGGCAGGCACGCATCCTTAGAGAAGGGGGTGTACTCTGAAAAACTTCTGTTTGCTCAAGATAACCTACACGAAACTGGGATGTTGCAGTAGAAAACCCTGCCAAGTTCTTTTTCTTAGCACCAAGAAGCTGAACATTACAAGCAGGCATTTTAGCTAAAGCTGAAAGGCCACCAGCAGTCCCCATAAGTTTTGCTGCAACTGCACTACCAACAATTGCAGAAAGATTTGGCGCAATATATCCCATTCTACTCTCCACAAAATCAAGGACCTTCTTTTTTGCTGAATCAAGAGCAAGAGCACGATCGCACGCATCAATTGTCTTTTGGAGGACTTCCTCTGGAAGTGGTTTACCACTAGTGGTTGATGCTGTAACAGAGACAACCATAATAATAGCTGAAGGTAGAAGCCCTTCTAAATCAACAAGGGTTAAGTCTGTTTCATTCCCAATCTTTTTAACCACGCGAGCATAATCAATTGGATGATGAACAAGTGATTCCAGCTCAGGAAATTTCAAGCGATACTTGTCTCGGATAAAATTGTGGATAATAACAATTTCATTCTCAATGTCAACTGACAATGCATTACAATCTACTATAAGTTGATATTCAGGATCGTCTTCCAGAACTATGCCATGATTTGACATATCAGACCCCTTCTCGAGAGCATCTTCAACTTTCTGCAACAGAGAGACCATGTCACCCATTTTCCAATATCAAATCAAATATCCAAAATGGCACAACTCAGCAGAGCTTGTAAAGTGCAGTGTTACAAGTGAACAACAATGACAAGAACAATAACTTTAAGTAGGAGAAGAAAAGGGCAAACCAAACGCATGGAGTTAAATGTAAATTTAAATGTGTATACGTATGATTGTGCAAGCGTAGTGCCCACCCTTCGCAAATAAATACAAGTTCCTCAATAAATCAAATTACAAAAAAAAAAAAAAAAAAAAAAGGGGGGGGGGGGGGGGAGATATAAGAAACTAAAGCTCATATGAAAAAGGAGCAGCAGGAAACCAAGAAAACATGTGTTATTCAACATGTGAAAAAAACACATAAATCAACCTGAATGATATCAATGTAACGCTGTGTTGTCTGCAATTTAGAGACACTATCCAAATCATCATAATTAAGAGTTTCTATGTCTGCCATGTCCCCATCAACATCTTCTTCCATATTTTCCGCATCAACGTTATCATCCTAAAAGGAAATAATATTAGTAACAGCCAAATGCAAGCATAATATGCCCAAGGAGAAGAATGGTGAAGTGACAACCTGACCAAAATACAAGTTAAATAATGAAAAGATACTCACAAGAAGCTCAGCTTCATTGTCAGACAATTCATCAAGGTCAGCCAGGAAAGAATCAGCAAGAGTTGCCTGAACCAAACATGACATATTTTGTTAGGATGAAACAGAGTCTGCCAATAAACCTACTTGACAAGCATAATGTACAAGCATCTCTAAACAATAAAAAGAAGGAAGCTTATTAAAAAACGAAAAAAATTAAAATCAAAAGGGTTCTCATTTAGTGTCTCATGATCTCACGGACATACAAGCATAGAAATGTAAAAAGGAAAATCCTCATCATTGAATTCATTTCAATTCAACAAATTGCATAGTTACAGACAGCAGAGATAAGGTCCTCATGGCAAACAAATGTGATAGTGCAGGGTTATAAAAGAACAAGTAAAAGCAAAATTGGGTACATTCTTTTACATCATTATGACCTTGCAATAGTTGTACACAAAACCACCACAGAAATTCTGAAAACTTGATCAAATAGTTCATACCATCAATTAAACCCATTCAGAAAGAAGCAAATATGTTTGAAGCAAGCGCCAAAAACCTCTATGAAATGGAGTTTCTATTGCTCAAGAAGCTACTACATTCATTAGTTCTCCATATTTTTAGGGCATCAAACAATTGCTGAAACACCAAGGAGAAATTCTTTCTTCACCTTGGTCTTAAAGTAAAAACAAAACACATAGTTTACTCGCACTAAAACACCCATGGAATGAAATAACATTCAAGAAAGTGTCCTGGTCCCTGGAAAACTAAACAGTAATACAAACATATGCTTCTCTTTCCTTGCTGGATGGTGGATGCTTCCATTGAGTGTCTCGAATCAGGTTTGTTGACCACAGTCCATGTCAAAACAATGTAGTGTTGTGAGTGGACACTTCACACATATTTAAATGTTCATCATAGACGGAAAGGCTCCGAGTTCAAACAATTTATGTTGCATTGACAATAAGCAGGTAAATAAACGACAATTCCAAGACAAACAGAATACCAGCTATCTTCCTTGTTTGGTAATTCACAAGCTCTTCCATTGGTTAGACATGACACATAGGTAGTGTTTGGTTTACTAGAATGAAGGAGGCATAGGTGAATGCTGATTCCATTTAAAATGCATTTTCCATCATTTTTCAAGAGTGAACCAACCAAATGTGAGAATTAACATCATGATGGAATGATCGTTATTCCGTTCTATTTTCATTCTAGTGAACCAAACACTACCTTAACATCTCAAACACATGAACAAAGATGGTATTTTGATGGCTTTTTGTAACCTATCACTAATATTTATCATTCAATACACACCTTCGAACTAACCTACACATACTGATGCTGGTGAAGTAATAAGGAGCAAGTTTCATCACTTAAATGAAAAACACACAAGTGAAGCAGGTAATTATGATACTATGAAAGCAACAGATCAAAATTGCGAAAACTAACCATTTTTAAAACTTCTAGGAATGGTGCTCTGATATGAGAATCGAGCTTCCAAAAGGCTATTCTGACCACACCAAACAAATAATTAATTAATTAATTAAAATAAATCAAACATAGCTCTAAACAATAAATTAAGAATGAATTTCTAGTTAACTAAAGCTTCAAACCAGAAAAATTTAAAAAAAAAAAATTGAAAAAATAGTAGGAAGAGCATCTCCAATCCTTCATAAAGAGCTAAAAATGAGATCCAATCATTTCATCAAACTTGAATCAAAGCAAAAGAATAGGACCAAATCCTTGGCCAAATTTCCAATAGTCATACACTTCTACTCAAATTTGATGAAATTATAAAAAGAGTACAGATTTCAGTGTTAAATAACAGATCAAGCTTTTAACCATATTTTCACTCAAATTTGATGAGGGGGAAAAAAAAAAGGATTGGAGATGCTAAACAGATTTCACAGCGCTCTGTTTGGATTATGAGAAAACGCATTCAAAGAGGAAACAATAACAGGGAAATAAGATACAGCAACAAATACGAAACCCTAGAGAATTGTGTGTGTGTGTGAGAGAGAGAGAGAGAGAGAGAGCTAAATTACCTGAAACAAAACAAAATCTTCCGAATACAACCTTCCTCTGTAGTTGATATAGGTATAAACCTATGAGAGAGAAACTGTGATCAACGCTAATCAAAGCTTTCTCAACTCAGAACGGTCGAACTGGGAAGGAGAGCAGGAGAGAGAACCGACTCAAAGCAACGCAGGCTCGCTCGGTTAGGATGAGGGGTGCCAGGCCCGTTCAGGCCCGACCTTCACAAGCTCGGCCCATATTTTATGAATTGAACTTGGGCCAACCCGCCTTACCCCAATTGGTATAAAATCAGTTCGACAGAAACACAATCAAGCCCATGAAACGGGACTGAAAATTAGTTTTTTAACCTTTTTCTTATTTTATAAAAATATGTATAAAAAAAAAAAGTGACATAATTTAAAAGCCAAAACAGTGATTTTTAAGCCATGTTCTCAAAACAATCCAAACACACCTACATATCAAACACATGTTGGGTCTTATAAAAATCTAGAGTTAATTGCGAGTCAATACTATAGGATTATGTGATGAACTTAAATATTTATACATCATGTTCATTTCTTTATGTGTCAATAAGTTTTGAAATAAATATCGATCCATAAATCTCCCAAAATCTATTCACATGATCACAAAGTGAGAGAGAAACTGTGATCAACGCTAATCAAAGCTTTCTCAACTCAGAACGGTCGAACTGGGAAGGAGAGAGGGAGAGAGAACCGACTCAGAGCAACGCAGGCTCGCTCGGTTAGGATGAGAGGTGCCAGGCCCGTTCAGGCCCGACCTTCACAAGCTCGGCCCATATTTTATGAATTGAACTTGGGCCAACCCGCCTTACCCCAATTGGTATAAAATCAGTTCGACAGAAACACAATCAAGCCCACGAAACGGGACTAAAAATTAGTTTTTTAACCTTTTTTTTATTTTATAAAAATATGTATAAAAAAAAAAAAGTGACATAATTTAAAAGCGAAAACAGTGATTTTTAAGCCATGTTCTCAAAGCAACCCAAACACACCTACATATCAAACCCATGCTGGGTCTTATAAAAATCTAGAGTTAATTGCGAGTCAATACTATAGGATTATGTGATGAACTTAAATATTTATACATCATGTTCATTTTTTTTTATGTGTCAATAAGTTTTGAAATAAATATCGATCCATAAATCTCCCAAAATCTATTCACATGATCACAAAGTTTTTGAAAATACGCAAAAAGGTTGATCTTTCTATCACTTTTCCGAGACAGAGATCTGATAATGCTATACGGACTATAGAGGATAGGTCGGATTAGGCCTGTAAGTGGATCGGATTCGGATCGGATCTATCAAAATCTGAATCCGATCTGATTAAGACAAACCCGAACCCGATCCGAATCTGTTTAGTCCATATCTGATTATAGATATCCGAATCCGAATATGATGATTTCGGATATCCGACCCGATAATCTCGATCTGATCCATTTTATTTATTTATTGAGCTATAATTTTATATAATTTGATTTTTTTTGTTTTTTGTTTTTTTCATTCAAATTGAGAATAATCGGATCGGATCGGATTTTTTCATATTCAATCCGTTTAATAAACGGATTAAACGGGTTCAGATTATTGGATCGAATTCGGGTCGGATTCGAATTAAATCCGATCCATTGACAACCCTAGGTCGGATTGATCCAAGTATTCCACAGGTCTGCTGGCTTTCGTTTCCTTGATGCGCGCTTGCAAAAGGTCTGGTGGAGAGATACCAGAACTGGAATAGTTTCTCCTCGTAGACGCTCCGATGATTAAGTTAGATTGGAAGGGATAGAGAAAGTTTAGAGGAAGAGAGAGAGGGAAAGAAAGTATTACTTGTTGTCTTTTACTTTTTTCACAAGCTTCCTTATATCTTTTACTAATCATTTCCTTGTCCATTCAAGCTGTTTTATTGGCCGAAAGTCTATGATCTACTTGTCGTCGGCCATGGCAGTTTCACTATACCAGGGAACGAGAGGTCTTGTTGTATTTAATGTCATGACATCCTCATTTAATGCTTGATGCTTAGGCTCAATAACTCTACAAGATCTTTATCTGCCACATAGCTAACTCCCTATCTAATAGGTATCTAAGTGCCACAGGGCCTGGACCAATATGAGTTCTTCGGTGGGCCTACTGTTGAGTTTCACCTACTAGATTATAACTAAATGATCGTTTGAGCCACCCAAGACAATTATGAGTTGGGCTGTCTTGGGCCATGTGAGTCGTGCCCATCAAGATCCATAACAGAAAATCTAATGTGTTGTTTAAGTAGTAAAGATTTTGTTCATCGTGTCATGTTCAAGATTTTGCTACTTTGTTTTACATAAAAGATATAAACAAGAGATGAAGAGAAAGGAAAATAATTTAATTAGAGATTAGAGAAGAGATATCAAATTGATTTGGTTTCATAAAAAAATGATGTATCGAATCAAATACAAAATGGAGTGGAGATCTCCATTTCATAAGTGTAATGATATGATGATTTTGATTTGATTATATATAGTATATATAAGTAACAAATTAAATACATACAATATTGCTAATATCTTTTTAATAAAAAAAATGGTAAATCACCAAAAGAAAATCAATGAAATAGGAGGAGGAAGAAAGTCCAACTGTCCAAGATGGTGGAATATAGCCACGGAAAAGTTGGGAAAGGCTAGGGTTTTTTTTTTTTTTTTTTTTTGAGTTGGCGGTAGAGGAGGAGGTTTGCAAGAGGGGAACGAGACTGGTGAGGCTGCAGTGGAAGAGGGGGGGTGCCAAGTAGTGAGTTATTGGTGAAAGAAGGGGCTATGAATTGGTGATTGGAGGTGGCCATAGGTAATGGTTAGCAATGAAGTAAATTCATAGTTTGAAAAAAAATATGGATGCAATGAGAAGTTATAAGATTAGAAATGAGGATATAATTAGAGATGATGATATGAGTGTAATTAAGAGGCATATAAAGATATAGAATAAAATTTTTAAATTTTGAAGGGAAGTATAATTAAAAGATAGGTAGAAGAAGATAAATGTATTGTACATAGGTCATGTTGACTGTCGTATTGTTAGTGTGATTGAAAGCGAAGAAAACACGTGGGCTTGTTGAATTATTAGTTCGGTGTTTGATTGCACCATAAGAAAAAAGGAATTGGAGATAGGGAACATGTCCAATCTAGTGTGTTGTTTTGCATTGTACTAAATTTTAAATAATTTTAATACTGATATGAGAAATGAAAATAAAAGAAAATGGAGGGATTAAATAGTATCATGGGTAGTGTGATATTAGAGTAATGAAAAAAAAAATATTTAAAATAAAAAATACAATTCATTTTAAATTTAAAAATATTAAAAAAAATACAATGCATATTAAAAAAAAATATTTATAATAAAAAATATTTAACCTAAAAAAATAAAATAATTTTTTTAAAAAAATATTTTTAAAAAATAAATCCAAAAAAATTTGAAATACAACTCAAAATTCTTTTCAAAACTCAACTCAAAATTCATAACTCAAAATACAGCTATACACTCAAATCATGATTCTAAAACTAAACCAAATGAAGCCGAAATCTCTCCGGTGTTTTTTTTCATCCAACAGTCAAAAATAATTATATCTTTTTATGTTATTCTAACAAAATATAACATCTTTTTTTTATTCAATCATTTACTACATATATATATATATATATATATTTTGTTATAGTATAACTTATTTTCACAATCTTATCATCTATCTAATCCATAATCTCATAAAAAAATAAATTTAGCAATCAAATGTGGCGATATAGAAATTCTCATTAACGATATGTTAACATTAACAAAGGTCTCTTTTAAAAGCCAACTTATTAGTTTTTAAAATTTTTTAGATTATATCATTTTTTTTTGTATGTGTATATTTTTTTTAAAAAAACCCAAAAAAATAAAAAATAAAAAAGATTTTTAACCTAATTTTCAAAATAGGCCCAAAAAAATCCCTAAAGGAGTAAGTGCAATTTCGAGAACTTTAAAAAAAAAAGATTATGCAATTATCATAAATATTTGGGGAAATTATATAAATAGTCTTTATAATTTACACGATGTGTCAATTTATTTTTTATTATTTTAATTTGCTCAATTTTGCTCTTTAAATTAACGGATTGTGTCATATTGATTTAATAAATAATGGCCGTTAGGTTTGGTAGAGAAAAACTCAAATGATGTGTCAATTTAGTTTCTGTCAAAATCAAGCAAATTAAAATTACATGAACCAAATAGACATATCATGTAAACTACAATGACCAAATTGATACATCTTTTGAGTTTTTGTCCACCAAACTTAACAACTGTTATTTATTGGACCAATATGATACAATCCGTTAAACTAAGGAATAAAATCAAACAAATTAAAACAATAAAAAATAAATTAACACATCATGTAAACTACACGAACCATTTATATAATTTACCCTAAATATTCTGTATTCAAAAATTGCCTCTGACAAATTGGGAAAACCAACTACCTAATCCAGAGTTGAGATCTTCACATTGATCTCTCTCTGTCTCTCTACTTACAACCGTGGAAATACATATCCAATAGTCCAAATTTAACTATTTTAATTTGTTTTAATTTTATTTATTTATTTATTTTGAAATATTCAGATCCCAAAACCCTAATTGATAGCCCTATCATTTTATATTTGTACTTTGACATATTAAAAAAAAAAAAAAACAAATAAAGACACCAAAGCGTCTTTCCTCAGCAGATTCTCTCTATCCTTCAATTATTCTCTCTCTCTCTCTCTCTCTCTCTCTCTCTTCGCCACCGTCTATATATACCCCAACTGGAGGCGATCGTGTGGTCTCCCTTCGGTTCACCTGAAAAGCATCCATACACACACGTACCCCTCTCCGTTTTTAGGGTTTTTGGAGAGAGAAATTATAGAGAGAGAGAGAGAGGGAGAGACGATGACGGAGGAGGGTGGAGCTGTGAAGAGGCCGAGAGAAGACGAAGAAAACGGAGTCTCTGTTTCTGTAGATATGGAGGACATCAATAACAATAATAACAGCAATAAAGAGACCGGTTATATATCTTCTGTTATACCTGGGTGGTTCTCTGAGATTAGCCCAATGTGGCCTGGTTTGTTTCCTTTGCATACATGAATTATATCTACTATATATTGTCTGTAGATTGAGATTGTTATTCAAGGTCTTTGCTTTTTGTGTTTGATTTGAGAGTATAGTTTAGTTTCCTATATGGGTCCGTATGAATGTATGTATGATTTTAGCTATGATTATTTGATTGTTTGTTAAAAAAAAAAATAAAAAAAAAATATCTGTTACCATTTGTATTCAAATTACTGTTTTTTGGATTTGTTTTAGGGTTTTTAGGTTCTTTCTAGTAATTACATCAACACTTTTGAAGATTCATGAGGTGAAAGAAAGGAAGGGAAAGAAAATTATATATTTTGTTGAAGCTAAATTCAGTTTGACTACAAGTGAATGATTGGGTTTGAGAGATTTGTTGGAAGTGAAAATTGAATATATTGTGAATAATATTTATTTTGGAAGGTGGGTTTTGTTTTGTGGGATTTAAATTTTATTAGATACAAAATATACAAATTTATAATAAAGAATATAATAGAACAGAGGGACTGATCCCTTACACCAACACAAACTTACCAGCCAAAGAAAATGTTCAACAATGGGCTTTTGAAAGACTGCATTAAGTTAAGTAAACAGTGAATTATTATTCTAACAAGAGGAACAAACTGGAGTCGGTATTGTGTTGTTAATTCCATTGCTTGAATAAGATACCTTTAGCACTGACTATGGTCGGTGGGTTTGTCCTGGAAGTATTAACATTTATGTTATTATTATTTAATATGTTCACTTTAGCCCAATGTTAAGTGGTTTGTTGGTTTGAATACTACGCAGCACTAGACAGCCATTTATTCTATTAATATTATTATGAAAGAGTTGCTAAGTTAGTCATAACTATTTTATTATCCTTATCAGGATTTTAGTGTTCCTTCTTTTCTTTTAAAATAGTTTGTTTTTTGGTCTATTTATGTCTTTATGACATGATTTTATTTGTGAAAATTATTTCTGAATGAATACAGGAGAAGCACATTCATTGAAGGTGGAAAAGATTTTATTTCAGGGGAAATCTGAATACCAGAATGTCATGGTCTTTCAGGTATTTGATATTGTAGAACTTAAAATTTTATTTTGCATTCATGCTTGTAAAAAGTAATTTCATTCACTTCTATACTAATTATGGGTGGCATATTGTGTGATGCTGGACGTGTTTGACATAATTGCTTCTTATTGCACTGCTGCAGTCTTCGACATATGGAAAGGTTCTTGTTTTGGACGGTGTGATTCAACTGACAGAGAGGGATGAATGCGCATATCAAGAAATGATTACGCATCTTCCACTGTGTTCGATTCCTAACCCAAAGAAGGTCTTTTCATCCTTTTAGAATTAATTAATTAATAATGCCAAGGCATATGGGTGACTGCATCTTCTTACAGTAACTATTGTGGATTTAATTTAAGTGGTTCATATGTATATTATATATTTATATATATTTTTTTTTTCTAGTGGAACTTTAAGCCTAAATGGAGGTTCTTATATTGGGTAATTATAATTTGGTAAGCAAGTTCTGAACTTATGCATGCAGGGGACAAGGGTAAACTCAAGTAAAATTTTGAGAGGTTTATTCATAATTTTGATCTAAGATTTATTGTTTAAACCTGGAATTGATTAATGAGGTCCATTGGAATACTTAGCTACACAACTGGAATTCTTTTGTTGTTTTGTCATTCCAAGGCTAGTTATGTTTGTAAATTTAGTCTATTAGTTAAGAATACAGTCTAAATTGAGCATGTAGTGCTGCTTTACCCCCCGTCATGCTGTTACAACTGTTCAAATTATATTGAAGCTTTGTCACAGAAACTAATAAGCACACATTATATAATTACAGTTACTGGTTTAATTTCTTTCCTTTTTTTGCCTTCTATTTTTGGCGCTTATCCTTGTTTCATGTGTCAGGTTTTGGTTATTGGAGGAGGAGATGGTGGTGTTTTGCGTGAAGTGTCTCGCCATTCTTCTGTTGAGCACGTAGATATTTGTGAAATTGATAAAATGGTTGTTGATGTGAGTGATAAAAGATTTGGTTACTATATTTTTCTTTTGGCTTCAGTTAGTTGTATGTCCTTTTACTTTCAGATAGCAATTTATGTTCATCTCTGTAACCAAAAAAAACTGTTTATATATGTTTTCTTTAGACACAAACAGAGATTTGCCTCCAACTGAGATTAGCTTTTGTGGGTTTAGCTATTTGAGTTTTTTGGATTAATGTATTTGTCAATTTTGGACATGATTGCAACATAATTCGTTGTTTTGATTATCTTCTAGGTTTCTAAACAATTTTTCCCTGATGTTGCTGTTGGATATGAGGATCCCCGTGTAGCACTCCATATTGGTGATGGTATGGTCCTTTTTTTTTGTACTTCTTGTTGTCAACATGGTCATCCTTTCTTTCTTTAAGCTATGCCTTAATGGGTTTTATCTCCTACGCAGGAGTTGCCTTTTTGAAAGCTGTTCCTGCAGGAACTTATGATGCTGTTATAGTGGACTCTTCTGATCCAATTGGTAATAATATCTTTGCATGCAATTGATTCCTTAATTGCATTCAATTGATTTTTCAGTTTATTCAATTGCTTCCTCCTTATATTCCTTAAATTGGTTATAAAACCGTCTTTGTATGCAATTGCTACCTTTCTTATGTTCATCTGAAACCTATACCTTTTTATTTTTAAAGTTCTGAAGTTGTGTTATATGTTAATCAGGTCCCGCACAAGAGCTTTTTGAAAAGCCCTTCTTTGAGTTGGTGGCAAAGGCTCTTCGTCCTGGAGGGGTTTTGTGCACTCAAGCTGAAAGCATATGGCTTCACATGCACATAATCGAAGATATTGTTGTGAACTGCCGCCAGATATTCAAAGGCTCTGTTAACTATGCATGGACAACAGTTCCTACATACCCAAGGTATGCACTTCAACACTCCCTCCCCTCTCTCTCCACAATTTGCATGTTTGCTTGCAAGCATGGGTTATGTGCAAGGGGCAGCTGTAGGACTGCAATTTTCTAAAGTTGGTTTGTATGCCATTTGGGCACCCTGTTTTCAATTGTTTTTTCTATGGGCCTATTCGGTGTAACTTTTCCTAAGCTATAAGTTGATAATCGTAAAGTAAAAACTAAAAGTGCCCCTTCCTCATCTTCTAGGTTATCAGGTTTTTTTTTCTTTTTTTTTTTTCCAGCTTATTTAAACTATTTCTGCCTCATAAGCTATAAACAAAGCTCCACCAAACACTCTAGCACAAAATCCCAAAAAAAGAAGCTATAAGCAGCACTACAAGCTGCACCAAACAGCACCTAATGTCCTTAACTCTCTTACTAACAAGGGGGCATTTCCATTATGTAAACTGAAACCCTGCTGTTTTTGTTATTGTTATTATTGTTGTTTTTTGGGTTAGATGCTTTTTTTTTTAACATATATATTTTAAATCGTGTAATGTAATTGACATTTGATTGGAAATTTAACTTGCATATCTGCATGTTATTATTGGTGATTTTTTAATTTCAGTGGGGTGATTGGTTTCATGCTTTGCTCTACTGAGGGGCCGGCTGTGGATTTCAAGCATCCTGTCAACCCAGTAGATGCTGATGAGAGCCATTGCAAATCAAAAGGGCCCTTAAAGTTCTACAATAAAGAGGTGTGGTTCTGCCCAGTCCAGTGAATTTATCTTTACATTTATATGCATGGTTTCATTTATTTATTTGAGTTTGTTCTTTTTGTTTTCCCAATTTTCGGATTATTTTCCTTCTCAGATTCATGCAGCAGCTTTTTGTTTGCCATCTTTTGCCAAGAAGGTGATTGAATCCAAATCTAAATGAGAGAATTTTTTTGGAGGATTTGAGGATCAGGATTTAACTGTTGTAGAGCTCCCGGCTTTCACCTCACTGAAACGGTCCTTGTAGCGAAGGATCTAGAATAAGTTGAGGGTTGAATTTCATGCTCTGAGTAGGCCGCCCTGTCTTATTTTTGGTGAGTTGATTTAGTTAATCATAGTAGGGATGATCTCCTTTTTCTTATGTTTGGTACTTGAAAAAGTGTTTGCTGGTTAGCATTTAATTGCATTGACAGTTAATTATTACAAATATTTTTTTTAATAGATGGTACATTTGTCAAATAGAATTTTTAATACTTTTATGTCCTAAATTATCATAATATATATATATTTTTTTTCGTTCTTAAACTATGAATTTTGTTTATTGTCTCTAGAGTTTCTTATTTCAGTTCATGTGGTTCATTAGAGACAAACAAAATAATAATAGTTGAAGTTTGATTTGATTGGTAAGAAAAGACAACCAAACATACAGACTTTTTTTTTTAAATATTTTGAACAAACTACACCCCACAAATCAATTTGATGGGTGTTTGCTTTGGTTAAATTGTTCAAATTTTGGACAGATGTTTTTTATCATTAAATTAGGTTTTAACGATTACTAATCGTTTCTAATTGGATTACATGAACTGAAATTAGAAATTTTAATAATTAAATAGATGAAATTGATAGTTTGTGGCTGAAATAGAAGTGAAATAGAAAAAATGGTGATAGATTAATGGATAAAAGTGAAATGAACCCTTAATATATTATTATTATTATTATTATTATTATATTCTTTTAGCAGTGTACCAAACTAGTGTCGTGTAATGCACCATGCTAAGAGTGGGTGGGGTGAAATTGAAAGGTGTTTGTCAGATGGAGTTTGACCCATACTAGTTGGGCATAAAGAGGATCTGTCTTTTTGGGTGGGGCTTTTAGTGAATTATGCATGCAAACTATTGTCATGTGCAATGCACCAAACTAATTTAGGGCATGCAAAGTGAAAGTATACTTTTGACCTAGAATGTAGGGCATGGAGGATCTCTCTAACTTTTCTTGTTGCCCCCTCTACTTTTCCTTCAATAAGAGACTTGAGATTACTGTCCTTTGCACCAAAAGCATCACAAATGAGTCAGTCATTAGATATTGACATGCAAAGATTGGCACAAAGAAAAGTTCGAAGATCATGAACAATTTCTGCCGAAAAGAGGAAAGAGAAACAATGCGACGTACTCAGAAGGTGATCAAAATTTGAGATGCATATTGGTTTGGAAAATTGAAATTGTTTATATATAACAGAAACAATAAATTACAAAAAATTGTAAATTTATAGAACTCGCAGATGGATCAAAAAATTGAAATTGTTATATATAACAAATGTAGTAAATTACAAAAAATTATAAACTTGTAGAACTTAGCGATAGATCAAGGTTAGCATTTGACACCACTAACTTTAGACATAATTTGACTCTCGCATTGATCTTTTTAGACATCTGCTTCTCAAGATATAATGATCTAAGTCACACTGAAGCAACACTATAGTCTATGAGCCTTTAAGGCTTCTGGTTTTGTTTTCTCATCAATCATCTCTTGTGAACTACTTCTATCCCGAACCATTGCCCCTGCATCGACAACCTCCTCTCCACCGACCTCCAGAGTCTGCTCTTTGCTATCATAAAAGTAAATCATGATAGACGCCTGCTTGATCACATTTCCCCACATTTCCCCATCCAAAGCAAGCTCACCGGCACAACCACCCGTCCCACACTCTTGGAGCAGCCAGAAACAAGGCATAGTGACCGTAACCCAAATCCCCAAACAAAGAAAGCAAGCATAAAAAAAGAGTCCATGTCTCTTGCTGTCTCTTCTGAAGTAATCTGAGAGTGCAATTGCTTCGGCCCAATTAATCCTTTCCAAAACAGAAATCACCATACGCATGTTGCACAGTGCACACACTTCCAAGTACTTTCCTAGCACTGCTGCAAAAACAGCTGCGAAGGCTACAACAAAGAAATAGCCATAGAAAATGTTTCTTGAAATGAAGTAGTAGAGTGTCACCAACAATGTCAATCCAAGTATTGTACTAGTTGACAAGTAGAGAACATGGATTGATGTTATAAAAGGAGCTTTGAACCTTGCTTCCTTGATAGACCTCTGCCCTATCTCTCTGTTTGGCAACAGTTAAAAAATTCACATCTTTTTTTCCAACTTTTTTTAGTTTTAAAATTTGTATTAGAAGTTCTCTCTTCAAGGCTGTTTGTCTAGAAGAATTTAAAAAGTAAAAAAAAGCCACTAAAGACGATAAAATCTTTCTTTTCAAGGCTGTTTAGTCTAGAAGAATTTAAAAAGTAAAAAAAAATAAAAATACTAAAGACAATAAAGTCTTTTTCGTCTTCTTCTTCTTTTCTTTTTTTTAAACTTTTTCGAGTATGTCTAGTCTAGTAAAAATAATTATAAAATTTTTTTTTGCCAAACCCGAGTGTCAATGGTGTCTCTCCTCTATATAGCTTTGATGTTAAATCAACAGTGACAATCATGGTGAAGAGTTCTAGGAGATGAAGAGGGAATAGATAGAGAAAACCCAGTTGAATCAACTTAAAACCAAAGTACCTTAACAACCAACCTTGTATGTAGGTTGGTACTGGCCAATTATAGTAGCAGTACCTGAATAGCATTTTTGAGGCTTCAACAAGTGTTCTTTGAAAGATTACTTCATTGAAAACCATGGTGATGAGAAGTGGGAGAGAGGTTAAGAAGATGAAGATTGTGAAATTGGTGTTTTGGTTTGAGATTTTTAAGGCCTTTTTGAGTATGCCAGATACCTCCATCTTCTCCTTCAGGAGGGCGTGGTTGTCAAAGACCTCCTTCTCCTCCTCCTCGTTTCTAAGCTCTATAGGTATGGTGGGTTCTTGAGAAAGAGAAAGTCTTCTCATGGATGTTGTGTTATTGGAGGTATTAATGATGAAGAAGACTCTGATTTGCCTTGTCCATTAGTTTTTGGATGCTTTTTGCTTGGCTTCATTGTTTTCAACTCTTTTTTTTTCAGTTACTCCATAAAGGAGACATAAGCATATGAAGTATGTTTTATGTTTTGTGAGTCTTACACTCATATTAAAAATTATCTATTCTTAGGAGATATTCCGGGAGTTCATTTGTTTATTTTTTATATTTTAATTTACAATCGACATGAGGGGGAGTAGGAAAAAAAGAAGCCACGACAGTAGAGAAATTATCTAATAGGTGTAATTTATAACTTTCTTTTAATAGTAAGGGGACACATGATCACTTTGTCTTTTATTTTTCAGACAAAATGATCATGTGTTTTCTTATTATTTAATGGACAAATGATTACATGATAGTTTTTTGTATGTAACAATGAGATTCGAATCCAAACATGACCCATGTGGTAAGAAAACACCTTACTACCAAGACAATTTCATGATATTTGTCTTGAGAGAGGTTTGAAGGCAAACAATTTTACAAAATCGCAAGAGGCAGAGTGTTGACACGTTGAGTCATAAAAGCCAACTTTGGTCATGATTCAAATTGAGCTTTCTTGGATTGGGTTCATTCCACCCCAAGATGTAACCTTTTTCAAAAGCATGGATTTCAAATAAACTTCAATCCATTTTAACCTTGTATACCTAGCCCATTTCTTGGACACTTCTTGAAATTTCTTTACGAGAGCTAATAAGAAAAGAAGGCAAGAAATGGACAAAGTGAATGGGTTGCGTTACTTCACAAAAATTGACTAGTAGAAAGGTGGGTCTAACCTACCACCATCAATAATCAACCATGTGCGATGAGATTTCTTTTGCTTTCATCATAGACTCATTTGTAAATTTATTATTCTTATATATGAAAAATGCTAAAACTAGTCTTATAGGACTTTTGTTAGTGGTTAAAAAATATGTAAAAAATGTATTAAGATACGTAAAAGTATGTTAGAATCTATAAAAAAATATAATGGGATTGTAAATTTTTTTACCAGTTGTGGTGCTTATCGACAACTCTTAAAATTATCATTAGCAGAATACATTATATATTATAGATCTGTTAATATTTTTAATCTCAATACACTATTTTACATATTACAAAATATTTTTATATATTTCATACATTTTAATATTGACAACAGGTTTAAAAATTATTTTTTACAATTTTTTTATTATTACTATTATTATGATTATTATTATTGTATGCTTCAATTCTTCGTTTTGACTTATTCTTAGGTAATATGTTGTATTTTCGTCTAATATATAATAGATAATTATTGGGTCAAAGTTTTGGAATAGTCTCAACAAAGAATAAGAAATGAAATATTTTTTCCTATTCATCCATCCTTTAAAATTCGATAATACTTTAAATATAAAACTAAAATTGTGTAATTCGTATCCTTTTCAAAAATTTCATAAATGACTTTTTTTAAATTTTTTTTTTATAAATCAAAATGGATAAACATATGATATAAACTACTTCAATTAATTTAACAAGTATAACATAACTCGTTAGAGAGTGTTTGGCATGATCTATATTATTATATATTTTTTAATCTTTTTTAGATCACATCATCTCTCTACTTTTTTACATATCTTTTAAAAAGTTAAAAAAATACACTTATTTAGATTATTCTGGACAATTTTTTAGTGTGAGAGAGAGAGAGAGGGAGGGGAGGAGGAAGAAATGAAGGGGAAAGAGAAAAAGAAGGGAGATTGACAATCGATTAACATGAGAGAGAAAGGGGGGAGAGGGTTGTCAATTTTTTTTACATAACACACATTCTAGCTACATTTTTGAAGTATTTATTAATTTGAGTATTTTTTCACTCCAATTAATAAATACTCAAAACAAACAATTATGTTTTACTTTTATCAATTAGTAAATAGACACACAATACTCTAATGAAGTGATTTTTGTAAATTTTACTTGCTATTAACTTTACTTATCAAATAATATAATCATACTTATCATTGAATTTAATGGTGCTTATTACGTATACGCCGTAACAATCTATTTATATTTCAAATCAATCTTACTCATCATTAATGTACTGAAGTGATTTTTGTAGTTTTAATTTATTTTTTAAAGTATGATCCTTGAATTTGGAATCATAGTTGGAGCCAAACCATCCCAATGGTGTCAAACTTGATGTCATAAGACAATGACTATATGGGAAAAAAAAGCAAGTCGGCACTGAAAAATTTAGGTAATGGATATATTAAGGACCCCACAAAGCAAAGCACTCATTATTTTTAGGTACACACAATCAAAAACCTCTTATGATATACTAATCTTCAATCTATCACACTCAAAATTTAGGTACACACTGTATTGGTCACTAATTATATAGTACTAGCTAGTTTTTATCAGTTTAACAATCATTTAGACATGGTCAAATCATCCATCTACCATATCTCAATGGGCCCCTAATTTGAAAGGAAAATAAAATTAGAGCAACTATCCAATCATCATGATCCTTCCACTTATGTCATAAATAAAATATCATGAGCATGAATAGCTTCATCTTGATTTGTCTATATGAAAAGCAACAAAAGTCTTTAATTTCAATATCAATCCATTTGAGATTACAAAGTGGATAAGTTTGTAGGAAAGATGGAAATTTATAAGAGTGTTCAGTATTTGCCGACTACATGAAATTTAAATTGTAAATTAGACAAAGTATTTAGATACTTATAAGATAAGTCCTTTCAATTTTTGATAATTTCTATTTCATATTTGTAATTGAAACTTTTCATTACCTATCTAATGGCTATCTGCTTATTATAGTAATCTAACTTCATTAATTAACATCTTATCATATAGTAAAAAAAAATAAAAGAAAAATTAAATACATGATGTTCTCAATAAATTAAAAATTATAAAAGTGCTACATGATTTCTGGATTACCTAACAAAAATGAGTTAGTATTATCCTGCTTATAACTTTTTCTGTTACGTCATTAGTTAAAATTAGCACATGAATAATGTCACATAATACTTTAAGATTGCTGAATATTTACCAATAGAAGTCAAAAAAATGAAGACATACCCTAATATCACACTTTAACTTGGTACATTTTTTTTTTTTTTTTTTTTTTTTTTTTGAAGAATCACCTTCTCTCAATCTACGAAAGTGGATTAGACGTCCAGTGGGGTCTATAGAGTCTACAATAAAATTTCACTTCGAGAATCTCGACCGTTTATCTTTTGAGTTGTGTGTAGATTATTTACATAAAAATTAAATTAATCTGGTAATCGTATTTACATAATTTTATTATATTTATCTTAAAAAATAAGGGATATTTATTCATAAATTTCTCTTCAACTATTTATATTCTACTTAGTTCAAATTAGCTTCTTTTGTTCTAATAAATCTCATGGGTGATATAATTTTTAAAATACCCTTAATAATAATAGGGCAGAGCACGTATTAATGTTTACATTGATATTGTGAACGTTCAAATTTATTTACCAAGTTGCTAAGGGTTTAAAAAAAATTTGTAAGAGTAAAAATTATTCATAAAATACATTAAATATGAGAATTATGATTTGGCGGATCAAATGTTCAAAGCAATAGGATTTATTGGACAACAAAAATATTTTATAAACTAATTAGAATACAAGCACTTAAAAAAAATTTCTAATAAATTCTTCAAAAAATAAATAATTTATTTTTAAAATTATACTTCCCTGTTTCTTCCAAAATAATAAAATGATGTGATTATTATGATTTGTTTTAATGAATAGGATGAAGATTGAGACTAACAAAGAGGGAGCTAGAATGGGTCCCACAAATCCAATAAAAGTGATTGACGAGGGCAACAACACCAATTAACCTAATACACAAATGAGACAATTTATTAAGATGTTAAAGACGTGTTAATCAAGAAAACCAAGGATTAAATATGGTTTGAAATGTCCTTGGACCGACTATGGATTAGAATATAAACCACGAAATTTCGATTTAAGGGTAGGTTATGCTAATTGCTAAAATTGCTAATTTGGTTGCTAATAATGGACCACTCCTAACCCCTCCTCCTACTATGGTCCCATTTTGGATCTATACTTACTATCTATTATATTTATTAATCAATAATTAAACTGCTAGGTAGCCTGCTGCTCCTGATAGCATGATGCTTTACCTAACAATCAATATTTTCCAAGGATCATCGCATCTCGTCGACATTCATGTGTGGTACTCTTGATCAATGAGATTATATAAAAAATTTATCCACTGATTAAAATAGATTAAGTCGATTCTAATCATCTCATGTTTAGTAATTTTATTGGATGAAAAATGGCACATCAACGTATAAGATTAATAGTTCAGGAATACTACTGAATAATTACTTCAAGAATAATAACATTTCCTTAGGATTAATTTTACTTTTATAACCTAAATTATTGTGATGTTTTCTATCATCGTTAAATCATCAAACATCTATTTAGTTCATATAATTTTCAATTTTATCTCATGTGGACTAATTAGAGACAACTCATCTCAATTAGTAAATTTAACCTAATGGGAAAAATTATAATTTTACAATTTAGACAATCTAAATTATATAACGAAATACTCATCAGATTATATTAGACAATTTTCCCCCTACAACCAAACACTCATCTTGTTCTCCACCCCTCATTTCAATAGAGAAGTGAAAAATGATTATTTGATTGTATAGTTTAAATTGTTCAAATTTTGAAATGACTTTTTTTACCCATCAAATTAAGTGTTAAGAATTATTGATTTGGACAATTATTTCCAATTGAATCACATTAGCTAAAATTAAAATTCTAAGGATTAAATAGATAAAATTAATAGTTTTAGAATGAAATGAAAAAACAAGTTTAGCATAATAATATTAGGTTCTTTTAAAATTTTAATTCACATAGCACTTAATCCCATTTTCATCAATAATTAGTTGGTTATTGTTAAAAATTTGGTTTTTATAGACTTATTTTGGACCAACTTTGAGCCCAAAATTGAGTAGGGTCCACACTTCTTTTGATGCGGGTCCAAAAAGGTGACGTGTTCTTTACCGCATGCATGGCAAGTCACACGGTGAAGACGGTTTGTCAAAATCATTTATGAGTGAATGGAAACTTAACGTCGTTTTCAGGATTGTGAAATGGACAATTCAAGAATTAAATGTGGGTTTTCTTGTAAAACTTGTCTTACAATGGAAACTTAAGAGAATTTATGTGTGTATATAAGTTCTAGGTGACAACACTTGGGTTGAGTCTCAAGGGGCACCCCAAGTTTGTAGAAGGGATGAGTTATGGACAAATAGAATCTTGGCTCAAACCATCGCACACGCGTGTGCGCGCCGTCGCCATCCGTCCCACCGTACTGGGTGTGGATCGAGTCGGTTCTAATATTCATTTTTTGGACAAAATTTATTTGAATTTTTTCTAGAAATTCTTAATGAAATTAAATTCCAATTTTGTGTCAAAATTGAATTTAATTTTTTGTCCAAATTTTACCTCATTCAGACCGAAATTCCTAACAGATTCAAACTATTTTTATAGTTTTAAAACTGCCAGAAACTGCTCAGTAGTTACAGATTTAAAACTGCAGCAGTTATCTGTTTAAAACAGTGTGCATTTGTTCAAATTTTGAACTGCGCCTGTTCATTCCTTTCATATCTGTTCGAATAGATCTGAATAGTCACCATTTGTCTTATAAATAGAAGACTTTCTAGCAGGTTTTTCACAATCACAAACATTTAGAAAAATTTGAAATTTTCTTGGTCCCCTCCCAGTTTTGCTCCTTTGCATAAATTCTCTTTATACTAGTTTTTAGGAAAAAATTAAGAGAGTATAGAATACATGTTTGGTTCGCCGTACAAATTTTTTGGAGTGCTACTACAATTTATGAAGATCATTGTATCCTGGGAGATAGACACCTTTTATCCGTAAGCACAGTAGCGAGGCGAATCTGTCTTAAGGACAAAGTGTCACATACTCTATTTGATCTTTTTGTACT